CCGTAGTTTACTGACCACGGATCTAGGAGGCTTGGGACACAGAGCATCCATGTGCATGCATATCTACAGGACTTCCCCGTGGGGGGGAGGGGGGGACCACACGAAGCGCCAGAGGAAGGCCTGCACAGATGAAGGCACTGAGGAAGCAGGTTGATCAAAACACACAGCAAATACCACGCTAATGGCACGGGGAATGCGCTGATGGCAGCTGGTGAATGTGGAATCCTGCACTGGCTCTGGAGAGTGTAAACCTTGCTGAATCTGAGACCCACTTGAACTCTCTGGGATCAACAGCATGATCCCGGGGACATAACCCAGCATGTGCTCCAGGTCCCCTAAAGCCCTCTCTCCACGGTTCACAGGACACATGAGATGGAGGTCAGGGGAGCATAACCAAGATGTTGAAGGGACTCCACCCAAAGAGGAGCAGGTGTTTAGCCGAGAAACTTGGAAGAAACCAGGTCTCCACCCTGAGCACCTCCAGAGTGCTCGCGGAGAAGGACTGATTCTGTGGGATCCAACAACCAAGGAGCACAAACCACGAGAACACGGGTCTACTTAGGTTCATGGAAGGTCTTTCCAACAATGAGAGCACTTATTACAACCTTTTATGCGAGCATGGATACATTTGACACATCGATGTGCGCCTTTCCTGGACTGGAAATTCCCTGAGGAAGTATATCCTGGAGTCCAGCGAGAGCCCTTCCCCAAGCTACGTGCTCACTAAACGTTACTCGGATGAAAGAACCGATCCCAGCTGGATGCCCCGGGCTGCTGGGCAACAGCAGCTCCTGCCACCTACGTGCTAATGTTCCCTCTGACACAGCCGCTCCTGCTATTTCTGAAAAGCCGCACGTAAACCAGTTTCCTCTGGAGACGCAGTCAATCTCTGCATCGTCACAGGCCATTTGGAATTTAGAAATGAGTTATTTAATTATTACGAGAGACAGTCAATAGTATTATTAGCCCTGGTTTAAAAGTTGGCCTGGAATTAAGTGAGAATGAGGCATGACAATGTGCACCTCCAGGGTTTCTGCCATCCTCATAGAAATGTGTATTAAATCTGACCCTTCCAGCCATGACCCAGCTCAGAGACATGCCCCCAGGCCTCCTTTCAAGTAAATGTCCTTGCTCTTTCCACTGTGTGTGGGGGGTGGGGATGGGGGTGGGGAGGGACTTACTGACTCACAGGCTGGAGTCACCGCCCGCAGGTGCAGGCGGCTGGCTGTTTCACCCCCAACCTCATCCTGTCAGAGGCCTGGTCCAGCTGAGACGTTAACCCAACGGGCTTTGACAGAGCATCCTTTACAGTTATCAAGGTGATCGATGCACATCACATCCTCCTTAGGAGCCCCCCAAACCAAACCAATTCTCGGGGGTCATGAATCAGAATCTGGAACTCTCCTAAAATTGGAGGCAGCTTCCAAAGTCCCATCCTGCCCCAGTCCACCTATAGGAGTGGACACGCTACAGACATGCATCCAGGGGAAGGATCTATGTCGCTGAGAAGCATTTACTGTACAGCGGGCGCTGTCTTGGGGGTCATCTCCTGTAATCGCACAGGGATCCTGTGGGGTGATGCTAGTGTTCCCACTGCACAAACAAGGAAAGGGGATCTCACACAGCTGCTCGGAGTCACACGGGTGGTAAATGGAGAAGCCAGTGCTGAGCTGGGGTCTGTTCAGCCCCAAAGCTGTGCTGTTTTCCCACACAGCAAGCAGAGCCATCTTAAAACAAAGCCAGTTCTAGACACTCCCTTGTCAACATGTCCCGGTGACTTCCTCTCACCCAAACTTCTGCAGGACCCTGCCTATTCTTACCACACCCCCTATTCTTCTTGCCCTTGTTCCCTCCTTCCAGGCCTCCTGGCCTTCCTCCTCTTCCTAGGAATCACCAAGTCTCTGACTCAGGGCCGCCCTCTACCCAGAATGCTGTTCCACAACACCTCTGCAGACCCCTCCTTCCTCCAGGTCTCCGCTCTCATGCCACCTCCTCAGGAGGCCATTCCCAATGGCTCTATCGACAAGAGGCCTCTTCTGTCACTACTCTCTAAGCAGCCCTCATCCTGCAGCTCACATTTCTCAGCAGCTCTTACCAGGGCCTGAGCACATCCTCGGCCTCCTGACAGCACCACCACTGGAATGCAAGCTCCGGGGGGAAGGGGAGGGGGGGCGCTGCGTCACTCACTGCCGCACCCCAGGTCCAACACCAAATTGGGTTGCTCTCTGTCCTCTCCCTCTGCCGCCTCCATCTGGTCCCAGCACACAGAGGCCTGCTCCAAAGCAGCTGGTGACCTTGGCCAAGTAACGTCAGCTCTCCAGAGAAACTTTCCATTTACTGCCCATGGCCCTGACAAAGAAGGGACTGATACCACATCTCCCCCACCCCGCAAAGACCGCATCACCCCCTCACTCTGATATTTGCTAGTTTTAGAATTTTGTGATTTTTATCAGAGAAGAGACATTTGGTGCAGCGGATGAAACAAAAAGATAATTATACTTCACAAAGAGAGAAAAAAGCCTTCGAAACAGCCAATTGTCTGTTTATTGCGAGACTAGACAATTCATTCATTTAATGCCTCCCAGCATCTTTTCAAAGCAGATGGAATTGGACGCTCATTAAAGCGGAGTTATAAAAAGCTGTGTGATCCAGCACTGAGCCAACCAGAGGGCTTCACAAAGCAGAATTTCTGAGCTTCCACCAACACAAATCTCCCAGCTAATCCGGGGATTGAGGCAGAAGCTAGTTCTAAACCAAGAGAGGGCCCTGTGTTCAACATAAAAGTTTCTAGAGATAAAATCATCTCTGTTTGGGGAACTTCACTCTCCTCCCTTCATCAGTAATCCCCGCCCTGGAAGGTGGCTCACTTTCCTAAACCTTCTGACATTTCACAGAATTTTGTAAATAAACAGAAGGTCTTTCATTTCAAACCCCCTTGATGCTGTATATCTGAACATTGTTTTCGTAGTGGAAATCCCTACTGGCATCAGAAGGGCTTTTGTTTACTGACTTGCTGAGTTTTCCCCTCCCTTCTTAACACGTAGAACACTTCAAAGAAGCTCTTGGCTTGGGCTCTGGCCTAGCTCAAAGGGTAACATACCACAGAGATAAGGGAACAATCTTCTGGGAAAATTTAAGCCAACCTCTTAGTTTACAACTTTTAACCAATCCATCCACCTCTTCTCCTTCTTACAAGGTGGGAAATGATGAAACTGTGCGGTGTGGCCAAGCACCAGGGCGGATACTATGCTGCCAAGGCTCCTACTACCCGTGTTTCCCCGAAAATAAGACCTAGCGCATGGAAAGATAAGACATCCCCTGAAAATAAGACCTAGCACAACTTTGGGAGAAAAAATTAATTTAAGACACTGTCTTATTTTCGGGGAAACAGGGTACCAAACAAGGGAGGAGAGTCCCAGTGCTTAGCCTCTGCAGGGAAGTCACACAGGAAAATTACAAGGTGGGGAGTCCAGTGGAGGGGTGCTCTGGGACGTGGGGCCACGAGGGTGCTGCTTAGCACACACTGCCCGGTGCCGTGTCCTCACTGCAGCCTAGAACATACCACCCCATTTCCAGATTGTTCCCTTTACTCTCCTGAATTCAATCATAAGTTTCGGATATTCCTAAATGCTTTCAATCAGCCGACAGTATTCTTATTCTTTAGCACTAATGATAAGAGTTCACATTCTTTAGCATTAATGGTAAGTTTTTCTGCTATTCACACACACATGATATCCAGCTTCCTTCACAGGACATGCTAACAGCTGTCCATGCTAACGCTCACACTAAAAAATAAAATAAAATAATAATAATCTTTATGGCTTGAGTAAGCTTCTAAAAGGTTAAAAAATAAATAAAAGAGAAAGAAGGCTGCAGGTAGTTTAGTGATATTGATAAGCATAATTGAAATTCTTGTGCCAGGAGGAAACCTTCCATAGGGCACATACTTCTGGCTCACTGATACCATTCCAATGTGCAGTCTCTGTTGTGTGTGTGTGTGTGTGTACTGTTACTTCTGTAATTATTTAGATACTAGAGGCCTGGTGCATGAAATTTGTGCACAGGTTGGGGGGGTCCCTCAGCCCAGCCTGCACCCTCTCCAATCTGGGACCCCTCAAGGGATGTTCCACTCCAGTGGGATCAGGCCTAAAACGGACAGTCGGACATCCCTCTCATAATCCAGGACTGCTGGCTCCCAACCATTGCCTGCCAGATCACCTCCTAACCACTCCCCTGCCAGCCTGATTGATACCTAACTGCTCCCCTGCTGGCCTGATTGCCCCTAACTGCCCTTCCCTGCAGGCCCGGTCACCACTAACTGCCTTCCCCTGACAGCCTGGTCACCACAAACTGCCCTCCCCTTCCGGCCTGATTGCCCACAATTGCCCTCCCCTGCCAGCCTAGGCAACCACTAACTGCCCTCCCCTGCCAGCCACCTTGTGGTGGCCATCTTTGTCCACATGGGGGTGGCCATCTTGTGTGTTGGAATGATGGTCAATTTGCATATTACGTCTTTATTATATAGGATTCTGGTCAGTTTAGGCTCTATTCCTAAAATATGTCATTATTTTGCAAATACACTTTCCTTAAAGAACCATATTTGTTTGTTTTGTTGTATATGTGTTTTTTATTGAATATATTGGGGTGACACTGGTTAATAAACTTATATAGGTTTCAGGTGTACAATTCTATGATATATCATCTATATATTGCACTGTGTCTTCACCACCCAAAGTCACATCTCCTTCATCACCATTTATTCCCTTTTTACCCTCTGCTACCTCCCCCTACACCTTTCCCTCTGGTAATGACCATACTGGTGTTTGTGTCTAGGGGTTGTTTCTTTGTTTGTTTGTTTTACTTAATCCCTTCATCTTTTCACCCAGCCCCCCAAACCATGTTTGTTTATACTCTGCTGTTTCAAAGAGGAAAAGAAAACAGAGTATTATGTGCAGACTCTAACAACCCAGATGTGTGCATTTTTATGATATTCAACTTACTTTTTCATTCCACGCCCACAGTCCAATTCCAAGAAATGCTATTCCCAGAAACTGAAAAAGAAAGAGAGAAAGCAGTGTAAATATAAGAGTAAATACCACGTTTTCACTAATATAAATTAGAAAGTTTTCAATCAATTCTTTTACCACTTTACCTGGCTGGAAGCCAATTTATTCTAAAATCTGAGTAACAGTCTTTAACAGAAAACAAACAAACAAACAAACAAACAAAAAAACAGAATGCCCCTTGATTAAAGTTATTACAGCATTAAAAAGGGTAGGATAAAAAAAGAAGTGGGTACATATACCGATGGCATATTATTCAGCCTTCAGAAAAGGAGGAGAACTGGCCACATGGGAGCACATAAATAAACCTGAAGGACATGATGCTACATGAAACAAGCCAGGAAGGACAAAGACCACATGGCGTCGCTTCTATGAGGAATCTAAAAGCGAATAAGTCAAACTCAGAAACGGGAGGAGAAAAGTGGTTTCCAAGGGTGGGGGAATAGGGAGAGATGGGAAAAAGGGTACACACTTTCAGTCAAAAGATGGATATGATCTGATAATCTAATGTCTGACATGGTGGCTACAGTTCATAACACTGTATTATATAATTAAAATTTGTTAAGAATAGAACATAAATGTTCACGCATGCGTGCACACACACACACACACACACACACAAGGTAATCATGTGAGGTGAAATTGGGATGTGTCTTAAAATCGATGGTACCTCTGCCAGGCTGGGGTGGCTCAATGGATTGAGTATCATCCCATGCATCAAGAGGTCACTAGTTCAGTTTCCCAGGCAGGGCACATGCCTGGGTTGTGGGCTCTATCCTCAACAGGGGGTACGCAGGAGGCAACCAATCAATGTTTCTCTCTCATCGATGTTTCCATCTGTCTCTTTTGCTCCTTTCCCTCTCTCTAAATCAATAATAATAATAATAATAATAATAATATTTTTTAAATGATACATCCACATATATAAAAAAATATATGTACAACGATGGTGCCTCATAGTATTTTTGCCTTGGCATTATACCAAAAACAATAATGTCATTTATAATCAGAGTGTTAACAAGTGTGATGACACACTATAAAGAGCTGTCCACCCACTAAGCGCTCAGTGATCACACTGGGTGCAACTGGCCACGAGGAAAGACTCATTCCTCACCTTCATCAGCAACTCAGAATTTCCTGTCCAAACACTGACGGGGAAGGAATGAGTGGCTGAGCGGAGGCAGGCTGGTGGCGGCAGCTGTTTATTTTACTGACATCTGGACTAAGCTAACTGTCAGGGGAGCTGCCCACCGAGTGGAGTGCGCGCGGAAAAGGACAGTGAGGGTGGCCGTCCCTCCCGGTCCAGGGACACCCGAGAGCTGTCCACCCGGAGGCCTTCCCCACGGGCTGCAGGCAGTGACCCCGTGGGCTCCAGCTAACCGTCCGAGGGCTGGGCGAGCAGCGGGAGCAGAGGGAAGGGAACCCCAAACACACAAAGGATGGACGGCCATGACAACGGGGTGGTGATTTTGAAAGTAGGACTTCCCCCATCGCCCTGCCATGACCCGGCATTGCCACAAGGCTACGCGACACGTCCTGAGCTCCTGCACGGGAAGCTCCGGCGTGGCCTTGGCGAGGCCAGAACGGAGGACCCCAGCCTCCCTCTTTGGCTCTCAGACACGTGAGAAGTGTTTGCTCTAGATTTCTTGTTTTCAACATCCCAACAGGAAAACGATGGTCAACCTCTCTTCTGCCCTGGGTCAGACTGCTATTGCACTTCACGTTTCTGACCCCAAACCACAAAGATGTCATCTCCCAAGGTACTTGGGGCTCTGTGGTACAAAAATAAAGTCACTCAGCATGTTTCTCTCTCTCTCTCTCTCTCTCTCTCTCTCTCTCTCTCTCTCTTTCTAGGTCCTGGCACAACCTGATAACAGAGGACAGGAGTACGCACAGGATCCCGTCATACCTAGAAGGCAGGACATCAAATGCATCCCACGAGACGCCTGACTCTAATGCTAAAGGCCTTTGCGGACAAATGTTCCCCTCTCTCCTGAGGCAGCATTTAATCATGGCATCGCCATGCAGTGGGCGGATGTGGCAGAGGACATCCCAGTCAGCTGTGCTTCTTGCTGCGGAAGTGGTGGGACACACCACCTCTCTGCGGGCCCTGCCAAATCGCTAACATTTATCCCCTCGATGCCTCACCAGCCACTGTGCTTTGTGGGCAGAGTCTCTCCTCTCTCTCTCTCTCTCTCTCTCTCTCTCTCTCTCTCTCTCTCTCTCTGGCATCATCACAAGTTTATTTTGAAATGCAGGCCCAGGTTAGTGAGGCCCCAGAGGCGCACAGCTGGAAACGCAGAGATCCGAGCCCAGGGAGGTCGAACATCGAAGTGCATGTCCTCGCCAGCCCTGATGAATCCCCATTCCCCACGGCACGGAGAGCCGAGACATTCAGGTTAGAATCCTATGGAATCAGAACAGGACAGGACACATTCCCTCTCCAGGGAGCAGAGGGAAGTTGGAGTAGAAAGAGAGGAAAACCTCCCCTTCGCCTGAGAAAGGGTTGAAGCACAGAAACGCCCCGCCCTGGGGCCCGCCCTGGAGGGAAGTATAAAACAGAGGAATCCCACTGGGGTCAGCTTTCTCTTCTTTGTATGAAGTTCTCCTTTCTCTTCCCGCCACTAGGAAAACCCTTTTGCTCTCACAGACCATCTCCATGAATTGGAAACCAATAGTTTCCCACAAAAAAAAAAAAAAAAAAAAAAAAAGAGGGGAAAAAAACTTAAAAGAAGACTCCAACTGTTCCTTTATAACTTTGCACCAATATATTCTGCTTTAACCGTGACTTTCCAAACAAGGGCTTAAGAACTTGGAGAGCAAACCCTGGATTTAAAGACAAGGATTGCACTCAATACCTACGCAAGCGAGCGGTGCGGGCCGAGGCCTCCACCCGCACATACCTCCGCGGCTACATCACCGGCAAACGTCCCCGCTCCCTCTCGGCCCATGTGTTTTGTTTTAGGATCGAGTTGTTCCAGCTCCATGTCATTAAACAGAGAGGAGCCAGAAAACAAACCGGCACGCAGCACTGACGCATTCCAGGTCCCCCTTCCCACCTCTCGCAGCAGAGAGGACCATAAACCTCCCCGCTGACCTCAGTAGGAGCCGGGGCCGCGCACAGGGAGGGAACAGCTGAGAACACTTACAGGCAACTCCTTCCCCGCCGCACAGAAAAAGACCCAACGCGTCCTCCCGCACAGCAATGTACGCAAACACGAGCACAAATGTTGGTCCACCCGAGTCTTGATGTTGTAAAAGGAATAACAATTATTTTGCCAGCACTGGTTGAGTGTGAGTAGGAACTAGGTGCTGTGTTTCTTATGAATTAGATGCAACCGCTCTGCCTAATGCGGTAGCCACCGGCTGCTGAGCCTCTGACGTGTGGCTGGTTCCAACTGAGATGAGCTAGAATCTTAATGTGAGTCAGAATAATGTAAAACGTTTCATTAATACTTGTTTTTATTATTGACTGCCCTGTTGAAATGATAAAGCTTTTGGTATACTGGGTGAAACAAAACATTAAAATTTCACTTGTTTCATTTCCCTTTTTTAAGTACCGTTACTGCAACCTTTAAGTTATCTATGTGGCTTGCACTATATTACTCTTGAACAATGCTGATCTGAAAGGTCCCTCAACAACCCCATGTGGTAGGTGCTGCTACGATCACCGTTTTATAGATGAGGAAACTGAGACTTAGACGCTTTAGGCAATTCTCCCAAGATCGCACAGGTGCCTGTGCTAGGGTGCTCAGGAAATGACTCCTCAACCCACGCTCGAAACTACTATGTATAGTATTTTCCTAATGTGTTTGTCCATGAAATGTTTGTCCAGACAAATAACAGATGGACAGTTATACTGAAACCAGGAGGGACGCATCTGCCCCCTTTTCTCTGAGAAGTGGAAGATCTCCTCCTTCAGCCACTGTTTTGGTCCTTGCTGAGCCTCCAACATCTTGGAAATGAACCTGCGCTCATTCTAACCAGCACAAAAATGGGTACTTGGAGAAGCCATCCATCCGTCCGTCCGTCCGTCCGTCCGTCTGTCCATCTATCCATCCATCCATCCACAATCCTCAACAAATAATTGGTGCTACACACTACTTTTCTATTGTAATACATGAGATAAGATACAGTCTCTGCCCCCAGTCAGCCTGTCCCCTGTCCAGTAAGATTGTAACCAAATCATCAAAGCATGAAAGACAAAATTGTCCTTGATGGTGCCATAAAAGGAAAAGAAAATAAGGCCCATCCTATCTAATAAAAGAGTAATATGCAAATTGACCATCACTCCAACACACAAGATGGCTGCCCCCATGTGGTCAAAGATGGCTGCCCCCATCTAGACACAAGATAGCTGCCACAAGATGGCCAGCAGGGGAGGACAGTTGGGAGGGACCAGGCCTGCAGAAGAGGGCAATTAGGGGCAATCATGCTGGCAGGGGGTTAGTTAGGCATTAATCAGGCTGGCAGGGGAGTGGTTAGGGGGTGATCAGGCTGGCAGGCAGAAGCAGTTAGGGGCAATAAGGAAGGCAGGCAGGTGAGCAGTTGGGAGCCAGCGAAATCAGGTCTAAATGGGCTGTCAGACATCCTTTGAGGGGTCCCAGATTGAAGAGGATGCAGGCTGGGATGAGGGACACACACGCGGCCCCCACCCCCATGCATAAATTTCGTGCACTGGGCTTCTAGTAGAGATTGTAAGAGGGAATTTGACCAGAGAGCATCCCAGGAAAGCTTTTCTGAGTGGGATGGAGGAACTGGGGTCTGCAGAATGACAAGACATTAAACGGCAGAAAAAAAAAAAAAAAAAGAGTATTTCAAGCAGAGGGAAGATATATTTGTACACACTAAATATACTCTGTGGTGGCATAACATGGCAAGTCAAAGGGTTTAAAGCAGGGGTGGGGAATCTTTTTTTCTGCCAAGGACCATTTGGATATTTATAACATCATTTATGGGCCTGACAACATGAGCCTGTTGTATTTGGT